GAATGACCTGTCATGGCCTAAATAGAGTTCAGTTTGTGACAGAGTTCCTGTCCTCTCGTCAAGCCTGTCCGAGGCATGCTTCGAGGTAGTAAATCTTGTATCTTCACTCGAGGTGACCCCTACATTAATGTTTAATCACGGTTCTTTTATGTGTTGTTTTAAATCAGACATGTATCTAACTCAAAGCCTCCTGAGTCTGTGAAACCCTGATCAAGAGTCCCACAACCCAGTCTGCACATACAATCATCAGTTCAATCAGAATTAACCACATTATATAAAGATATTATTGTTCACTTAATAAAAGACTATACAATGCGTAGTGTCTTTAAAAGTCAGTAGTAAACTACCCCAATAAATTTCTTCACATCCATTATCTATACCAGGGATAATAAATTCCGGTCCTCGGGGTCCGCAGCCCTGCATGTTTTACTTTTTTTCCCTTCTGTAACACACCAGATTCAGTCAGTGAATTACCTCTTCCAAGTTCTGCAGAAGCCTGAAAATCATCCATTCGTTCAAATCAGGTGCGTCGGAGAAGAGAAACAAGTAAAACGTGCAGRGCTGCAGACCTCAAGGATCGTAACTTACTATCCCTGATTTATACCCACTTCTATCTTTTTAAGGGTCACAGGGGTCACTGGTGTCCATATCCAGCAGTCAGTGTGAGGGGCGTGGTACACCCTGGACGGGGCTCAAGTCCGTCACAGGGCCACACATAGAGACAGACGAGACAAACATGCATTCACTCTCTCACTCACACCTAGGAACAATTTAGTCACCAATTAACCTGACGGTCATGTTTTTGGTGTGTGGGATGAAGCCAGAGTGCCCAGAGAGAACCCACGCATGCACAGACAGAACAAGCAAATAGTACCCAGAAAGGTCCCCGAGCTGGGATTTCATCTGGCGTCCTTCTTGCTGAGAGTCATCAGCTCTACCAACTGAGCCGCCAACAGTGTCAAAAGCCAAAGAAAAGAATTTAAGATGAGTTTTAAAAACAGCCAGTGAAGAGGCCTGTCTGGACTCGAGATGGAGATGGAGGGGTAGCTTGTTCCAAAGTCTAGGAGCTGCTACAGTAAATTATTAATCCCTCTTGAGTTTGAGTCTGGTTTTAGGGACCCTCGGGAGCAGCTGATCAGCTGATCTGAGGGAGTGGGAGGGACTATAGGGATGCAGCAGTTCAGACAGGTACAATGGGACAAGGCCTTTTAAAGATTTAACAACAAATAAAAGTATTTTCAGGCACTTTTTGAAGCTTTCATTTAATATATTTGTATCCAAATACAATACAATCCGTCCATCCGATACAATAGTGGTCTAAATGTAGACCACTATTGTATTGGATGCAGGGGCGGGGGTTAAAGGACTTTACAGAACCTGTGAACCTGTGATGAGCTGTTTGGTTGAAACTGTCTCAGGTAACTCTCTGCTTTCAGATCTTCATCACAGAGCTGATCTCTAAGCTGGTGGGAGTTCACAAGCAGGAGGAGCTGCAGAGCGAAGGCATCGAACATCCCATCATCTGCCACAGCCACTCCCGCCATGAACCCTACCACTTCAATCACAGCCGGGGCCAGAACCAGAGCCTCAATCACAGCCGGGGCCAGAACCAGACCCTCTGATAGCCCCCTTGATGTTGGACCTGTGTGAGCCAGAAATGAGTGAAGGACTGAGCTGACAGCTAAACAACTGATTGTGTTCTGTTGCTTTAACAAAAGGCAGGAGCTGCAGCCAGTGTTCAGATCAGTCCAGACGGGGGCGGGGTTAAAGGACTTCACAGAACCTGTTTTAGACCTAATCTGGACTAGCACACACTTAATGTAAAAGCACTTTGTCAGAGTTTTTMATGAGGTGCAAGGTGGTTGACTTGTGTTCAAAAGACTTTCACGTTGTCAGCACAGTCCAGTGTGTGGTATTTTACTAACACAACTGAACGTATGTATTTTTTGTTCATAATATTCCTAAAATTTAAATATACACAATGACATCACTTTTCCAGGACTGGACGTTGTCAACTGTCCCTCAGTCTTCTTCCCCCACTTAAAACTGACTGTCCACAGATGTAGAC